GATGAGTTCAGACAGATTTAATTTGTAGCGAGTGTTGAACTGTAAAAGAAGTAAAAGTATCATTTTTAGGTTTAAAAGTAACAAAATAAAGAAAATACTTGGTAAAATTACAAATCCTCAAAATAATTACTCAAGTACTGTAACAAAGTAAATGTACTTAGTTACTATAAAGCTCTGCGTAAAACTATAAGCAGATAAATCAGTTAAATTTTGTCTCACATTGYGTGTTTTTCAGGTTCTGGTTGTGGGAAACCCTGCCAACACCAACTGTCTGGTTGCAGCCAAGTCTGCTCCCTCCATCCCCAAKGAGAACTTCTCCTGCCTCACCCGTCTGGACCACAACCGGGCTCGCTCTCAGGTTCCATCTCAGCTCCAGCTTGCACCTCAAGCGCAGACGTTCGTTGGCTGTAAGAACTGAATTTACTCTCCGTCCTGCAGGTGGCAATGCGCTGCGGTGTTCCTGCCTCTCATGTGAAGAATGTCATTATCTGGGGCAACCACTCGTCCACTCARTACCCAGACGTGCATCACTGCAAGGTCAACATGTCCGGCAGTGAGCTCGCCTGCTTTGACGCAGTGAAGGATGATGCCTGGCTCCAAGGAGAGTTCATAGCTGTGAGTTCATTTATCTTGAATTGCAAATGGAGTCTCAAAGACCAAAATAAACAGTTCAGTTAAACTTAAAAAAAAGTTAGATTCTTATTTTTTTAAAGCCTATTCATTTTGGTGTTTTTCCAACACGAACTCTATATATTCTGCTCTTTTGCTTACATTGGTCTCCACTTCTTTTTCTTTACTTATTTTCCTATAGACAGTTCAACAAAGAGGTGCTGCAGTCATCAAGGCCAGGAAGCTGTCCAGTGCCATGTCTGCAGCCAAGGCCATCTGTGACCACCTGAGGGACATTTGGTTCGGCACCCCGGAGGTAATAAACCTTACATTTACTAATGTTACTATAAAACAGGAAAGTTTGCTTCTTGCTCCTGCTTTGGGAGGCACCTCAAATGTTGTGTTTTAGCTCGTACTAAATTCTTAACATCCTTAATTTTTACAGTTTTGTTAAGGTCGTGTCTCACTATAACGTTTTAGATGGCATATGAAGAATATGTCCAACACTAAAGTTTTCCGTGCTAAAAATGGAATTTAAAAAAGCTTCTTTTGGATATATACTCACTATAATGCTAATGGTTAGATCAAATGTAGTATGAATAATTTTGTCATGACTAAACTTTTATAAGTTGTCTAAAATATTAGTGGGACAGGGCCTTCCATTAGCACAAAAACCACTGCTATAAGAAAATTTTTATTCTTTTTGCTCCATTAATTTTAAACAGAGAAATGTTGAGGTGATTCCTACAGAGCAATATTACTTTAAAGGGATCCCTGATTAGCTTTAACATTAGACTTTATTTGATAAACGTTTATTTTAGCTGTAAAATAAAGACTGTAAAAATACTGTAGTCTGTTTAGTTTTTAAATTTTTAAAAAAACATTTTAACATGGACGGAGCCATTTTATTTATGTGCAAAGCATTCTGGGTAAATGATGACATGTATAGGTGCTCAGTGTGAGTGAGCTGTATCCACCCTGAAGATTAATCTTGGACAATATCTGATGATCGACTCTTTTAAATGAAACCAGAGAGCGTTGACAGAGAGGAGAAGGTAGAAATGACTCAGTCTGTAACTGAAAATATGGATGGAGGACAACAGAGCTGCTTCATGGAAGAAGAACCTCAGCTTAGCCTGTTAGCCTTTGCGCTAGCGCTGACGCTATATTGCCTTATATGTATTAGCTCAGCGCTAGGGCGATAAACAAGCTAAACTGAGGTCCTCCATCCATATTTTCAGTTGCAGGCTGAGTCCTTTTTGTGTTCCCCTCTCTGTGATGTGGATGGAGGACCTCAGTGACGAAAGGAGAATATGTAGCGCTGAGCTAATACATATACCGGTATATGGTGATAACATTGGGGCTAACGCTAAAGCTAACAGGTTAAGCTGAGGTTCTTCTTCCATGAAGCAGCTCTGTTGTCCTCCATCCATATTTTCAGTTACAGGCTGAGTCATTTCTACCTTCTCCTCTCTGTCAACGCTCTCTGGTTTCATTTAAAAGAGTCGATCATCAGATATTGTCCAAGATTAACTTTCAGGGTGGATATAGCTCGCTGACACTGAGGACCTATCCACGTCATCATTTACCCAGAATGCTTTGGGTGAAAATAAAATGGCTCCGTCCGTGTAATATATTTTTAAAATTTTAGTTTAAAAATGATAAAAACTGAACAGCCTACAGTATTTTTACAGTCTTTATTTTACAGTTAAAATATATGTTTATTAAATAAAGTCTAATGTTACAACTAATCATGGATCCCTTTTAATGACATGGTATTGTATGTGTAACACATTTTGATAGGCACTCATTTTTGTGTGTTTAGGTGTATTATGGAAATAATACTTTTAGGTTTAAGCCAGTAAATCATGACATCCTTTAATGACCTAGGTTTTCATGACATGCTGTTCATCTGTGATTATAGTCAGAACAAGATTTGCTAACAACAGTCATTCTTAGATATCACTTGTGTTTATCTTTGTGTTTTCCCTTGACCCAGCATTTCCTTAGGATGAAATCATGCTTTATTAAGATGGCATAATAGTGTTTGTTAATCAGTATATATGAGGCCTCAACTGCCTCAAAGAAGCAGAAACAGGAACAGAGAGCAGAGGGACAGTCTGATGGCTTTATGTTGTTCTCTGTGTTCCTGTTGTTGCAATAAAACTCAGCTGATCATTCCATGGAGTGCCCTTCATTCTTGGACCACGTATTTCTCTTTGTTAAATAAATGTTTCCATAACATAGTGTGTGTTATAAATGTGTATGCATGAATTCATATATGTTTAGTTATTTACTTATGTAGCTTTACGAATTTTGGTTCATCTTGCTAGATGCTGAAATTAATGTTAAAGTGATGGAGGATAAAGTCGTCTCACCACACAGTTGAATATGTCATCTTGTGATTACCTCTACGTGTTTTAAATTAAGTGACTTTGGGTTAACATGTAACCTCTTGGATTAAGCAGCATTTTTTCTTTCAAATGTTTTTTTAGGGTGAGTTCACATCGATGGGTATCTACTCTTCTGAAAACTCCTATGGAGTCCCAGGAGACCTCATCTACTCTTTCCCTGCCCAGATCAAGGTAACAACCTTGTTTTCACTCCACTTAGAGTACACTTGTATTTTTTTAATTCAATTAAAAGTTTACATTAAACTACACCAGTGTGAAACGATGAACCCTGCTTTGTAAGTTTAAATTGGGGATGAATGTAAAATTAGCCATAGATGAAGTTCCTACACGTATACAGTACTGTTTGTGTTCTATATCAAATACTGAAGGAGTTTCTCGTTCCGCAGGACAAGACCTGGAAGATTGTGGAGGGTCTGACGATCAATGACTTTTCTCGGTCGAAGTTGGACGCCACGGCGGCCGAGCTGATGGAGGAAAGAGACACAGCTGTGTCTTTCCTGGGCGTATGACTAGGCCCGCCGCTGCAGCACACAGACGGCCTCAAAACTCCAGAGGCACGCCTGTGACGAAGCCCGCCGTCAAGCTCCTTCATCCCTGCATGCAGACAGTCAGTCTTTATGAGTGTAAAGATGGATTTATATTTGTGCGTAAAATTGGCATCAGCTTTGAGCCCAGACTTATTCTGTCATCTAGGAAAAAACAAACATATCTTTGCTTTGGAAGCAAGTGGCTGAACAGAATTAGTCTCTTTTTTTTTAATAGACAGCAGAGCAGCTACATACTGTAAAGCATAAATATAAATCCACCTATAGTTACAGTTATTTCTAAACTTCATTCTGTGGAGGAGAGTATATGAATGACTACATATTGTCAGTGATGCAATAAGTCTTCAAACACTGTAATGGATAACATACCAATAAAAAAAATAAACAATGTATTTGTTGTTGTTTTTAAACAGTTTAGTACAGGGTAGCTATTGGGTCTGAAATTGTTTTTTATGAACATTATTATGTGTATCCACATTGTAGTCTTGGGAATTTGAATGTGTTTGACTCCAAGTTCACTTTAAGCGTTAATCTTCTCCTGGATTAAAATAAAAAYGTACAATCTCATAACTAATAATTTATGTTTGCAGTTGAAGTGGCTGCAGAGAAAAGCTCTAATAAACCCAAATTGGATCAGCAGAGATGGTAAAGGTATGTAGAATGTGGTACTTTTTATTTCCTCATAAGTAAACTTTATTTCTAKGGCACCTTTCACAGACATGAACATAAAGTGATTAACAGAAGGTAAAATAAAAAATTAAATAATTCTTAACTAAAGCCTGTCTGAATAAAAATGTCTTAAGATGTTTCTTAAAAGAGTCGGTGGAACCTGAGCAGCGAAGGGAGAGTGAACAGAGGACAGGACTCTTAAAAACATTGAGACGCTAACGTTGATCTGCACAATTTATTCCTCCGAGTTTAATCTTTGTGGGGATGTTGCYTGCATAACGCAAAAGGTGACATGTTTTCCTTCAAAGATATATCACTTACATTTTTTAAATGAAGTAATTTTCATCATTTGGTGGATGAAATATTTCTGATTTCTGAATGTTGGATGAATAACCCAACTATGTTGATTTGCTGTACGCAAAAATGTGCACAGTTTATRTTATCTGCTGGCTCAAATATAATCAGTATTTGGAAACTGAATTCAGTATGAATCCCTGTAAACTCAGATTTATCTAAATAATGTTGCAATAGAATAGAAATGATGAAAACCCCATAATGTCAAGTTTCATTCTGTAAAACTTTACCATCYACTAATAATTTGTTTCCAATTAATATAATTAAAAAAAATGTCCCTAAACACTAAACTTCTCCGAGCTTTTCCTGCTCAACCCTTAAATAAGCACTGCTTTAAACAAGTAGTCAGTTATTTTTTATATTTTTAATTTTCTTAATTGTCTTAAATAATGAGTGAATTGACTTTAAATATTTTTGTGGGGTCTAAATATGTTTAGATACAGGGTTTTAGATATTGAATACTGAAATGACACAGTTTTGCCAGGCAGGGGCATTATTTCCTCTTTTTACTTCCCAGCTGCATCAACTGCTAACATCTAATCTGTAGTAAATCTGCTTCATATGTGTCATTGTTGATAAACAAGTTACTTCAGCCAAGAAACCCACCAGGGAAAAGTGCCCCTGTAAGACAAAGAAAAAATAATCAAGCTACTCTGACATATGGTTATACTTATGTATAAAGTTTATTTAAAATCTGTTGTGTCAATTTAAAGGTCAGTGAGAACGACCTTTATTCCACCCAGAGCCCACAACTTCACCCAGTCTCAACCCGGAAATGTAACAAAATCCCTGGCAAGTCGTCGCAAAAGATGATTGGTAGGAAAATGACGTCACTGAAACAGAGTGTTTTCATTGGTTCCTACTCGTTTTTTGCTTTGGAATTGCACTTCATTGTAAAATATCTCCAAAGTATTTACCCCTATAAGCTTTTTCTATTATTCACCTTTTTGCGGGGTTTTTCGGGGATATCAAAACGCAACATTAGCATGGTATTTTAAGGGGACAACCTGTTAACAGCGTAAACATTTGCTGACTCCTGACTGTGCTGTTGCCCTTCAGCTGTGCAGAAGAACCAGGCCGACCCATCGACTTTTCTTTCGCCAGTGTCCTCCAGTCAAACAGTAAGCAAAAGTCTTCCATGTTTGACGGTATTTCACCGCTTTATCACTCGATAATCATCCCGAAATAAGCGAGTGTTGCTGGTGGATCGTTTCTTTTCGGATTTTGGACAAGATTAGCTAAGCGAACAATTTCCTCCGCGGTGTGTTCAGGGACCGCTGGAGATTTGAGTTGTCCTGTTGGACAGCAATTTTTTTGGAGGACACGCCGTCCCTCTGAATCCATCCATTCATCCATCAGCCAGTCATCTCTACAGTCTGTCTAACCCCTGTCTTAATGAGGGTTAGGTTAAACTGTTAATAATTGACAGGAGGATTTATGGTGCAGTGATAAAGTCTGTTTCTAATAAAGTGCGCTTAAAAAGAATGCAGGGGGAGGAGGGAAGGCTGCAGGAAAAAAATATACAGCCAGAGGTTTCTTTGGATTCACACCCCAAAAAAATTGTGACGTGGGTTGTAACGATGAGGCTAAAAGGAGAGGAGGGAAAGCAATAAAACACACGACAATATCCAGCGTCGTTAGTGTTGCAACATTTGGCTTTAGTCCAGAGAGAGCGATAGGATGAACGAGACCTGATTCTTTCCTCGTTTCTTCACGAGTTTGACACGATGACTTTTTATTTGGAGCTTCATTTTAAAGGCCTGTACACCTGAATGAATGAATGAATGAATGAATGAATGAATGAATGAATGAATGAATGAATGAATGAATGAATGAATGAATGAATGAAGGACAGAGTCGTTTGCTTTAAGTAAAGAAACCTTCAACTTTGGCATCCATTTTCGGGATGTGAGTTCAATGACATTTGGGATTTTCGCGGTCGGTGCTCTTTGGGATCTTTAACCTGAAGAGTTTGCTTTGGAATTATCCGTGTTTATTGCTGAACTGCTCACTAATTTGACAGATTAATCATGGCAGATTATGTGAAAGGTAAGTGTTGTGAATTTGCTCGTTTTATTTGGAGTTGAAATGTTTCCCATTTTCACTTGAATCATCTGCCGGACTCTAAAATCTAAGCATATAAATTTGATTAATTTCTTAAAAACAAGCACACAAAAACTTTTTTTWAATCATTATTTCTATGAATTTTCCAAAACCTTTCATACGGATTTTAAAGTACTCTGGTATCTCTTTGGACTTTTATTTGCAATGATATTTTTCTGAAGTCAAAGTTTTGTAAAGTTTTCTTTCTTTCACTGGTTCTAATTTTCTGATGCACTTCATTTTGACATGCCATTTCCATAAATCTTAAGCTGCCAGCCCACTCATAACTTACAAGTGAAAGTTTTAAATCAAATGTTCTGAAGACAACAGATTTTAATGTTCTTTTTCCATTGATTGGTTGTGTTTAAGGCTTTTGTGGTAAAATTGTCTTTTTGATTATGTGTCCATTTATGCAASGATGTATTCAAGAGGTTGTTCATGTTAAAGTTTGCTTAGCACTGTCATTAATTGATCTTAGTTGCACAGAGATAATTGGGACAAAACGGTTAAACTCCTTCAAAATTCCCAACAAGTGCCTGGACGACCACCATCCCATGCTTTTACTGATTGTTTTAAAGCTAAATCTAACTTGATTAGATGCTTAAATTGAAAATGGTTTCATGTGCTATCTTTAAGAAATAAAAAAGTCCTAATCGATAGTCTGTGTTCAAAGTGCTGTTTGCGATAGCTTGACACACTTATTGTCTTTTGATGATTAACAAGGACTGTCATAATCACAAAGAGGTGTGTCTTGGCTTCTTATACCCACAACATATATAGAGGTCTGGGACAGGATTTCCTTGTAGGTTTTCTTTCATCCAGAAGATGGCAAACTCAAAAAGTAACTGGACGGCTTTTCCTGTGKTTAAAGTTGTTTTACTCATCTGAGGGGCTTTCTCAGTTCAAACTGGAATGTACAGGACTGGAAAATTTAATATTGCATGAGATGTTCCGATTATATGAGCTGAAACACAGATTRCCCTCACTTCCTTTGGGATTAGGATCTTTAGCCTGGTCTTCATGAGAAGAGTTTTGGTCACAGGCATCAAGGTGAAACTGACTATGAACCAGATCCAAAGTGGCTGTAAGCTCTGGAAAGCTGAAACATGAGACCTTCATCCCTGTTTWAAGGTATTTTTTTCTTTTCTCTGTCCTCACAGGAGTGACCTGTGCCTTTGAGATGTAGGTGAAAAGCTGAGACTTACGGAATGACAATAKTTTTGCATTTGACAAAGAAAAAGGATGAATGCAAAAATAATGCCATCTAATGTGTCACTGGTGGATCTGAGAAACTCAGAAGGGTCTTTTCCAAACACCACACCCCAGTGTGTTTCAAACCTGACACAGGCTGGTTCACCTGAATGATTAAACATCTGATATGCTGGTGAAGATTCATATAGGATCAACCCCCAAAAAATTAAAAACTAAAAACAACTGGACTTCTGTTTTGAAGCTGAAGATGTTTTGCCTGATAGCTTCCTGGATGGGAAGTGAAATGTCTTCAACTTCATACTAGTCCAGATGTATTTTTATTTGGATAAAGCACCCAGAGTGAGCAGTGTGATAAAGACTTTTATAAAGGAAAAACTAAACAGTCTCCACAGATTCATGACCCAACACTGGAGAACATGCACTTCAGGCCAAAACTCAGCTCTCCACCTACAAGTCTCCTTTGAGGACAAAGGAGATAGATGACATGAGAGGGGGTTAAAGAAGCCCTAAGCATCAAACAAGATGCTCAACTTTAAACAGGGGGAAGTCTCCAGTTTCAGATTTTCAGGTCTTACAAAGCAGCTTTGGATCTGATTCCCAGTTCATTTCAAACCAATTCAAACTTTCCATGTGACCGAAACCCCTCTCATGAGGACCAGGTTGACAAACACCCTAACGAGACTCAGGAAGTTGGGGAGTGGGACTAATCCCTAATTGAAGCATGCTGTTTTAAATCATGCTGTCTTTTGCTGTTTTTAGCTTTGCAAACTTACATATTCCAGTTTGAATTGAGATAACTTCTTTTCTTGTCAAATATATTTCAATTCTTATCCAAGACATTCAGCCATGTTTTAAAACTCAGGGGATCTGGTGTCATGACTTCATTTGGATGCTTAACTTGTATCACCACCAGTGATGACTTTATTTTTTGTGAGGCAATATCGATAACCATTGCATCAAAGGGTCGCCTTAATGTCAAAGTCATTGTTTTTCCAAATGTTTTAGGCTGGTAAAARCCAGGCCCTTGTGCTACACTTTGCTTCGTACAGAGGGTCGTTACCCTCGGCTATTGAGAAACGATTGCTTGCTGGGGACTTGGACCCTGAAGTTTAAAACAACTGGATCTGATTTTACTSASTGGTTAACATTTGGCCATGACGTATGTAGTGCRTCAGCTAGACCAGTGGTTCCCAAACTTTTTGTCTTCTGACCCACAAAATATCCATGGCAAAAACTTGTGACCCCAAATATTACTGGTCTGAGCACACGAACTTCGTTAATAACCCTAAAAACACAGGCCTTTTGACAATCTAAACAGCTTGTACACAAATATAAATACTTTTTTATACTTATTTTGTGTTTTTGTAATAATTATAGGGAAAATATTACATCAGCAATTATTTTATTACCCTTTAAAATGATTTCTGGAGATTATCAAAGGTGCTTCATGACCCATAATTGGGTCCCAAGCCCAGCTTTAGGAACCAAAGTGCAGTGGTTYCCAAACTTTTCAGCTTTTGACCCACAAAATAACAGTAGCAGCAGAGACATGTGCCCACTGCTATTTTTGGATGAAAAACATTTGTATCAGGTCAACTAAACATGGGCATAGTAACAATATTTTTATACTACATTTATCCATTTTAAATACACTAACCTCACTCTTTTGTAACAGCTAAGGCAAAAATGTAATTAATTCAGAAAATCTTTTCAGGACCCCAACTTGATGTTTCAGGACCCCAACTTTGGGAAACACTGAGCTAGACCATGAAGGAAGCTAGGAAGGAAAGTGACAGGAAATTGCGTTCACCGTAAACAACCATCCCCTACTGGGAAGAGAGAAGTACTCGGTTGAATGAGATGGCTGGAAATGAGAGCTGCAGGCTTTGCAAGACAAGTTTAATTTGGAAGCCTTGTCAACACAGACCGACTTCATTCACTTCCTCCGCTGCCATTGCTAAACTACAGGCAGACAAACGGTGCAGAAAATCAACGTTGTCGTTCACAACTCCTCCTTCTGTTCGCTGATTGGCCCAGTTGAATTTCTACAGGAGGAATCCATGCCAATGGGAGAATCTCAGACGGAGCAGAAAAGGGAGATTAGAACTGAGTGTAGGAAGGCAATGGCCAGGCTGCTAATTTTTAGTCATAGGTAGAACTTGTTCCGTTTGAACCTCTGACGTGTTATGATAAAGGTGTGTGACATCATCATGCTGACATCTAAAGTGTTCTGAACTGCCTTACGAAGAACCAAAAACAAGGTGATAGTTTAAAAATACTTAAATCTATTTTAGGTAAATCGACTATAGAGATGGTATAGATTCTGAAAAATGCATCATCCAAGAATTTCATCCTAAAAGAAGTGTTCAGGATACCCAAATGTTGAGAATTTAAGCAATCCAGAATATGAAAGGATGCATTCATCATGCTGCAAAGAAAAACAAAAGCCTTAACAGATTATCGCTGTCTTGTTTGCCCAGGTCTAAGTGCAGGAGTGGCCAACGAAGGGATGGCTCAGTTCCAGGAAATGATGCGGCAGCAGCTGGAGAGCTCCATGGATGAAGAGCTGGAGAAACTGCTAAACACCACTGCAGAGGCAGACCGAGAGGTACACCATGTCCTTCATCCCTCCCTCTCTTCGTCATACTGACCATCTGATTGTAATTTAGAGGCAGTGACGTTATGCAATGCTGGGAAAACACAAGTGTGACACACACTGTAGCACCCTGCCAGAGAGAGTTACACTTTCATGAGAACGAACACAATCCTGTAAAGTTAAACAGAAAGATGTTGTCAACTCCAGTGTAGGGAGTGTGAGCCCCAGAGTGGCAATTCAAGGTAAAAATCTGCTTCCTGAAGTTGTAACAACTCCAAGGAGCATCATTTAACCGTTTCATTTGTTTGTGTCGAACCAGCACAGACAAAATGTCGAAGTGACTCAAAAAGTACGCACATTACCAAACATTGTTAGCAGCRTTCTCAGACTTCATATTGGCAGCACTGAGCTGCAAGCAGTGGCACAAGATTGAAGCAAAAAAAAAAAAAAACTGCAAAAAGGGTTTAGAAATAAAACTCAGACATAGCTGGGATTTGCACTTCACACACTTTAAAGTTTGTTCACCAAAAATAAAGGCTTCTTTGCTTGCAGTTAGCACCACTCTGTGGCATTTCTTAACGCTGCGAGAGGTTTTAAAGTTTTAACAGAGACATTTCTGACTGGTTGTACAAAACATCCATTAACTACACTTTATTTTTTTAATAAGGGGATTTAATAACCAAACAGACTGTTTTAAAGTGTAAATGGGATTTTTTTTTTGTTTTGTTTTCTAAAAGTAACTTTCCTAGCAAAGATTCTGCTTCTGGCAATTATTTTAGAGTAGATTTCAGATAACTGATAGTTATGTTTTAATGCTTTTTCTGTCATTATTAAGAAATGATCCTAGTCTAAAACCATTTTTTAAATTTTGTTTTGACTAATTGACTTATAATTGCAGTAAGAAATGCTTTCAAAGTCAGCTTGTTTTCAGTGGCAGCTTGTTCATAAATGACAGGTGAAATAAGTGCATTAGAAGGGAACGTGTCCTTTCAGTCAAACATCTTTGCAAGGCTTTTAAATTTTCTTTTAGATTGTTTCCAACAATAATGGTTTTAGGTTTTGCGGTGCAGTTTTAGTGAGTTTGATCTTTATTTCTTTGGTGAATAAAGATTTTGAAACCAAACATGTTTATGTTTTTTTTTTCAGGTGTGCAGAAAAGACTTTGAGGGCTTCAAGAACCTCTTTCACAGATTCCTGCAGGTGAAGGGGCCATCTGTGGAGTGGATCAAGATAAAAAGACCTCCAGAAGAGTCGGTAAGTCCATGTTGCCTGACTTGTCTCTGAGAAAATGAAAACTCTGGGTTTGCATCCTCTGCGTCTTTATATATAAGTTCACAAGTTTATTGACTGGATTTATCTGCAAACGGCTCTTTGGAGCCTTTGTAACTCGCTGGTGATCACTGAGAATATTGGTGCATGCACAGAGAGACCCATCCTGAAAGTGACTTCACAGTACAAAAAAAAAACAGGAAACCCAACCCCATGAAAAAAAATGTGGGAGTAAAAATTCAATTATAGTTTTAGACAATATGAACCATAGTTGCACACATTTCAGAAGCACAGCCATCCCTCTCTGCTGTCCTGGTGTGAGCATAAAGAGGATGTGTGGATACAAAAATAAAGCAAATACAACAGTCTGGTACTTTTGAACAGCTTAAGAATGGTTTTCAGGCAGAGTTCTCCCACTTAAAAAAAAGATGAGAGGCCTGAAATTGATATCATATTTAGAACTCGGCTATGAAAGACAAAATGAGAAAACATATCTTGAAAGTCTCATTGTCCTTTTTTTATTTGCAAATTATGGCGGAAAATAAGTATTTGGTCAATAACAAAAGTCAATCTCAATACTTTGTGATATATCCTTTGTTGGCAATGACAGAGGTCAAATGTTTTCTGAAAGTTTTCTGTGTTTTCGATGTTTTGGGGCTGTCGCTGGGAAACACGGACTTTCAACTTCCCTCTTTTTAAGTGGGAGAACTTGAAGAATTGGTGACTGACTAAATGCTTTTTTCCCCACTGTATGCCTGTTCTAAGATGGGACATAGAAGGTGCCATTCACCTGTCTGGACAGTTTCTTGTTCGAACTCTAAACTGATAAGCCTGTAACATAGAAATGGCAAACTGCACAGAGTGACACCACAAGGGTTAAGGTGACTGCTTTAAAACCTTGTCTGTGCTCCAGTTTTACATGAGTTAGAGAAATGTCAAACCATTTGTACCCCAGATCTGTCCATCCATAAGACAGTCCACAGTAAGGTCTCCATGGTATTTAGGATAGTAAATGTCATCAGACTTACCGTACTTTTATTAAGGCCACTTCCGTCGAAGAAATTATAAGTGGTTCTCATAAAATTTATTACTCTGATCATAAAATGGTTTGATATGCTGGTAATCATCAACATCTAGGTTCTTTATTTTCATGCTTTACATTTTGATTACTCCTACAATTTACTGACGTATTATGTACCATTGGTGGTACACTTGTTAAGGCTTGTTGGAAAGCATTTGAAGTGTTTCAGTGTTATTACTGTAGACATTGAATAATGTCATAATGTAAGAGAGTAAGTGCAACAGAATTAATGTCATTAAGAATTTCTTTCTGCACTCATCAGACTTTGTAAACAAACATGTTGCATAAATTAGTTTGCTTTACTTCTCTTTTGGGCTGCCACGATTAGTCGATTGATCAACGACTAATCGATTATTAAAATAATCGATGAGTAATTTAATAATCGATTAATCGTTTTTTTTATTTATTTTTTGTTCTTTACTTTGTTTTTCTCTTCGAACTGCTTTGACACCTTCCACTGCCACATCTRCCTTTCTGTCCTTGACACASATGCASAGTAGTGGTAACTGGGGTAGGCCGTGGACGTCACAAGACATTATACAGACAGGCTCTGGTATCATGGCTACCCAGCAACGGAGCTCAAAAGTGTGGGATCATTTTAAGAAAATGAAAGAGAAACCTGTGTAATATCTGCAGAGCAGAACTTGCCTTCTACAGCAGTTATTTTTAGTTCGCATATAGCTAAAATCTAACAATGGTTTATATATATAATAGCAGCTGCATTCTGGCGCGATAAGCTGTATGTTTTATATTCAATTAAAGTATGATCTGATTAGTCGACTAATCGAAAAAATAATCAGTGATTAATCGATTTATAAAAATAATCGTTTGTGGCAGCCCTACTTCTATTACTAGACAAATGTATTGTATGAAACACGTGGCAGATGGGAAGCTGGTGTTTTTAACTACAATAAACTTAGATAAGGCTGGGTGTGTTTTGTTTGGCCAAATACATTCAACACGTCTTCACATCAGATCTGTATTTTACAGAAGATGTTTAATGCGGCTCCTTGAATGACCTGTTAGACCAACCAGAATAAAAGCTACACTGAAATATGTCATAAGGCTGTGATTATACCCAGAGGATGAAACGTGGTAAAACGAAAGCACTTGTCAAATCAGGGCATGAGGAAAAAATTCTGGTCTTTTACTAGATTCTAAAATTATTTAAATCTAACCTTAAGTGTACAAAAACACACCACAGAATACACCATGTCGTTATTCATTAAACAAAAATCTGTGTGAAAAACTAAGTCGACAGTATGACTCAGAAGCTTGTAAAACTACCTTTGTCTGTGACGTGATGTGGTGGTTTTCTGTCACTTAATCTGTCTTGGGCAAAACTGCAGAGGAATATTTGGAGAAATTTAACAAACCCAGTGCTAGTAAAAGGAAACAACACTCCTGTTYCATATGGAAAATGAATCTTTTGACCTTGAGCCATGTGTGAGTCAGTCGTTTTTAGTGTTGTCTCAGGTTCAAGAGGTAGAGTTTTAGGATTGGGATCATTCTGCAATTTTTTAGACATTCAACAGCATGCTCATAATTATTTTTGTTGTTTTTAATTTTAGAATCTGGCAAAGCCCACATCATTTTCATACCTTGATACAAAATGTTTTAGAAAATCTTCCCCATGAGTTTACACACAGTACAGTATTTTGAACAAATGAAAGCATTTTAGTTCAATTTGAGCATGTGTAAGATTACCCAGTCATAGAGCTCTTTAAATAAATAATTCATTAAACAATTAAAAAATGAATGGTAAAAGGCAACAGGTCTTAATGGCTGTTGCAACATTTGCTATGAGAACGTATGTGGGGTAATTGGGTTTGGTCTTTTTTCTGGCTTCTACACAACACATTGAGAAAATCTCATTTGTACTGTTGTTTTATATGACTATCAAGGAATTGGTTTTAGCTATAAAACTTTTTTTTTCAGGTTAGATACGAAACCTGTTGAGATTAAATTGACATCTGTATTGTCATTCTTTTCACTCTGTGGTAACTTTGTTTTATACTGATATTAAGGAGGCCAAGTACACAACTTTGTGGTATCCCTGTTTAATTAAAAGACATGTCTGAAAACATTAAAAATACTTGTGCCCTGACTTATGCACTTAACTAAAAAGCCCAATCTGTCTCTCTTGGTTGGAATCTCTCTTCTGTGAAGAAGTGAGGGTTAACAAAAGTCCTGTCAAGATTGTTTGGCTGTGTTTATTACCTCAGTGGTCATGTTGGATGAGAGGCTGAAAACCAGAAGGTCTGTTCTGTGTCTGCTGTCACTGAGCTGATACTCTGCAGGAAAGGACATCCGCTCTCGTTCATCTTAACAAGAGAGCTCTGTAGTGATAACTGGTTAGAGTTTAATTTTCTTGAGTGCTTCAGCGAGAGTTTTGAACCAACCTGCGTAGAGAATTGAATTTATTCAAGCTGGAGGAAATGTGAACCTTGACACCAGCAAAGACAAATATCTGCTGTTTCAGCTTTAATTATTGCTGGCTGCTACAAAAGGTGGTAATACGTGATTTAGTTTGTGTGTGTCTGTGGCATTAGCTAAAATTTTAGAATCAACAAAATTTTAAGATGACTTACCAAGCTAATAAAACTTATATATATATATGATATACGTGATATATACGTGATATATATAT